CCACTTTTCTATCACTCATTTTAGTGGAAAATATTTGAGCTTTCCTTCTCTGACAAGTTTCCGCCTTACACAGGTTCTGGCTTTTGGAGGTTTTACTATTAACAGGTCAGTCTTTGAGGAGATGGAAGGAGCTGGAACCAGGAGCACAGGGAAGTATTTGCCTTCGACAGGAGGAAGGGTAAAACCAAAACCAAACCAGTTGCTGTTCAGTCGATTCCGACTCATGGAGACCCCATGTGTTGCACAGTAGAACTGTGCTCCATAGGGTTTTCAAGGCTGTGACTTGTTGAAAGCAAATTGCCAAGCCCTTGTTCCGAGGCACCTCTGGATGGGCTCTAATTGTCAACTTTAGCATGGTTAGTAGTCAAGTGATTAACCGTTTGTGCCTCCCAGGTATCCAAGGGAGAGTACAGATACAGGTAAACATGAATAGTATTGATAACAAGAATTTAAAAAACCCAAACCCATTGCCATCAGTAGATCCCGACTCATAGTGACCCAATAGGACAGAGTAGAACTGTCCCATGGGGTTTCCAAGGCTGTCTTTACGGCAGCATACTGTCACATCTTTCTCCTACGAAGCGGATGGTGGGTTTGAACTGCCAACTTTTTGGTTAGCAGCCAAGTGCTTAACCACTGTGCCACCAGGGCTCCTTGATAACAATAATAGCTAACATTTATTGAGTACTTACTTTGTGCCAGACTATTCTAAAGGCTTTATATGAATTACTTTACTTAATCCTTGTAATAAACCTACTATGCTAAGAAAGATTAACTTGTCCAAAGCCACCCAAATAGTAAATAGCAGAACGAAAGTTTGAACCCAGGCAGTCTGATTCTAGATCCCTAGTTCTTAAACTTTACACTTTACTGTAGGTATGAAGATAAAGAAATTAAAGTTGAGAAGTTCACACCTAATAGCCTCCATTTTCTTTTCCATTTTGGAGGCAGGATCATCTGGAAAACAGGCTTGGAGTTGAGGACTTGATGTGAGATAGTGAGGTTTTATAATAATCACTTAGGGGAATGGGAAAGGAAGTCCCCCAGGGGACTGCCACGTGATGCTCAGGGGCTAGCTGTGTGAGGACACTGTAACAGTGACACCAATTCATACAGTTAAGGGATCGATCTTTCCATCCCCTGGGAACAGTTCTTAACAGCCTGGTTGGGAGACATTCAAGTAAAGGCAATTTCTCGAAATATAGTGGGGAGGACCATCTGATAGAAGATGTTGTTGTTGTTGGGTGCTGTCCTATTAATTCCAACTCATAGTAATCCTATATGACAGAGTGGAACTGCCTCGTAGGGTTTCCTAGGCTATAATCTTTATGGGAACAGTTCGCCAGGTTTTTTCTCCCGTAGATGCACTGGTGGGTTTGAACCACCGACTTTTTGGTTAGCAGCTGAGCACTTAATGAGCCACAAGGGCTCCTTTGATAGAAAGTACACAGAGGGAACTATAGCAGCAAAAGGACAAGCCTCTCACCAAAACCTGAGGTGTGGAGTAGCAAGGTGGGGACTGGGGTAGGGAAGGATATGGTCATAGGAATGGGTTGCTAGAGTGGGGGGAGGTAAAGATTAACAGAACCGACGAGGTCAGGGAAAACAGAGGGCAGGGTATTGGATGGCCTGTGTTGCAGCAACACAAAGAACAAACATTTATTCAGGGTTAACATACATAGGCACTGTGATCAGTAAGGTAAAATAAAATAAAAAAATAGAAATAATTCCTACCTGCTTTATCTCCCCAAGTGTAAGCATTTCCTAAAGGGCAGGGGACATGCTCTTGATGCCCACCACAGTTCTTTGCTCAAAAAACACTGGTGGAATTAAGAACACATCTCTTGTACTAAGAAAAGCTCATTATCAGAGGTTATAAACTGGTGTCTTGTGGACTAAATCAGGCTCATGGGAAGTAATGTGGTCCACAGAGTACTTAAAAAGAATCTGAGCCAATATTTAAAAATTAGAGTATTTCATACAAAGTACGAGTTTCTAATTTCCCTTAAAAGAGCAGAATTGAGACACTGGGTCCACGCTCCAACATAGCAAAGGAAAAAAAAAAAAAAAATCAGAGTTGTGTAGTGCACAGGTGGTGTATGGTGGAGCCGTGGTTAAGCACTTGGCTGCTAATCGAAAGGTCAGTGGTTTGAACCCACCAGCTGCTCCGTGAGAAAAAGATGTAGCAGTCTACTTCTGTAAAGATTTACAGCCTTGGAAACCCTATGGGGCAGTTCTACTCTGTCCTATAGGGTCACTATGAGTTGGAATCGACTCAATGGCAATGGGGTATATACACCTCTTAAGGTGGGGGACATTAGTGGTTCAGTGGTAGAATTTTCGCCTTTTATGCAAGAGACTTGGATTTGATTTCCAGCCAAGGCACCTGATGCACAGCCATCACTTGTCTGTCAGTGGAGGCTTCCAGACTAAGACAAACTAGCAAGAAAGGCCTGGTGATCTATTTCCTGTCCTTAAAATAAACGTCTATATTTCTAAGTTTGGCTTCTAAGGCCCCATAGATTCTGGTTCTAGCTTTCCTCTTTAGCCTCATCTCTTGTCAACCCTTGCCCCTATTGTATGTTCTAATAACACCAAACTTCTCTCAATGAGAGAACACACTATGCCCTTATCTCTAAGACTCTATACATGCTATTTCTTCTATTCTTCTATCTAGAAAAGTATTACCTCCATTTTACAAGGTTACTTATCCTGATCCTTTAGGCCTCACTTGATACTTTCTTTTCCTCCTGAAGCCCTCTCTAACCCATTCAAAGCTGTGCTCCTACGGTACTCTGAACATCCCCACCATAGTACAATGTCATACTGTCGTTGCCTCTTTACTTACTTTATCTCCCCCTACACAGCATACTCTATGGGGGAAGGAATTAGATCTAGCTCGCACTCTGTTAAATCCACAATGACTGACACGTAGTAGGCACTCATTAAATATTTGCTTCATTAATCACTTATAACTGAATTCTACCTTTCTTTAAGGCTGAAGAGACTCTCTCTTTTGATTGTCCACAAACCCCCTAAAACGACACTGAAATTTTATGACTTCTTAACACTTTTCCTACTGCTGTTTTTGTCTGTTTAACAAGGCAACACAAATGTCTACGGAGCTAGCCTATTTAAGTCTATACGCAAATCTAGTGTGAGTAGTGGGAGCTGTTGGCAACCTGTCCAACACATGTCCTGTAGGAATAAGGGCCCAGTGCCACCAGACGTTCTCAATTTTTAAGAGAAGCCAGAAATCTTCCGGATTTTGAAATGTTGGCTCAAATTTTTTGTGAACATTCAGTGGAGCAAACAAAACATGCCAGTTGACTGAATTGTCTGTGGGCCATGTTTGATAAGCAGACAACTAGTTTGAGAATTCTAGTTTATTCTTAGGTCCCTTGATTAAAGCTTTCTTTATTGCTCATTTAGATGACACTGCACCAAGATTTATTTATTGGCAGCATTAATACAGCTTAGCGATGATCCTACCAATAGGTTGCCATCACTCTCCTCGATCTCTACGCACACTTGGCCTAGGAACCATCTTGAGTTATCTGTCCTGCATCCAAGACCTTTCCCCCATCCATCCAAATATTGCCTGTCCAGAATTCTATCTTCAAGGTCCTCTTTGCTAATCTGGAGAGTCACTTAGTCAAACAGGATAATAGTTGATAAGTGTTTAGCAATAAAACCTCCTGGATGTTATTATTTTTTAATTGGGGCTTCCAGCCCTAAGTATAATGGGAGCTAATTCCAGGTAGGGGAATTTCCCTGCCTCTTAAACAGGGCTTATCATATTGTGTTAAAATCGTTTACTTGTCTAGTTCTCCTCTAGACTCTAGGTCATTTGTCTTAATTACCATTGTATCTCTAATGCCTGGGAATGTAGGTGTTCTATAAAACTGTTGCCATGTATGAGTGAATGCCACCACTCATCTGTCAGTTTGACATACTGTGGTGACTTGCGTGTTGCTGTGACGCTGGAAGCTATGCCACCAGTATTTCAAATACCAGTAGGTTCATCCACGGTGGACAAGTTTCAGTGGAGATTCCAGACTAAGACTTAAGAAGAAAGGTCTGGCAATCTACTTCCAAAAACTAGCCAATGAAAACCTATGGATCACAACAGAACATTGTCCAGCTCCCTTGCTTTGAACTCATCACTAGAAGGGAAAAATCGCTAGAGGACAACATGTTTGGTGAAGTAGAGGGCCACCGATCCCTGTGTGAGATGGACTGGCACGACTGCTGCAGCTATGCACTTGAACATGCCAGTGATCATGATGATACAGGACTAGGCGTCGTCTCCTTCTGTTGTATATAAGGTCGCCATGTACAACAGAAGGAAACGATGCCCAGTTTGCATCATCCTCATCATGATCACCGGCATCTATGAGTGAATAAAAAATATATGCAGTCTGAATAGATGTTCCTTTGACTTCAGCTTAAGGAAGAATCGTTTTCATGATCATCCCATAATCAATCTAAACTGAGGTAGGCAAGCAGCAACTGCTCAAAGGAAAAGTGCAAGCTACTGAGGCATAGCTTCGGTTCGACAAACGTTTCCTGAGTGCTTGCTGTGTGCCAAACGTCGAGATAGTCTCCAGACGGCAGAAAATGATAAGTTCGAGGAGTTCAAAGTGTTAGCTTCAGTTCCACTCCAGGACTTCTCCTTCCTTGTCCTGCCTTCCTAAAATGTGGTTTTAAAACATATACTTAAGACGCCCAAATGCACTGCTCATTCAGTTATTTTTCCTCTTTCATGTTGCGGAACAGCTCCCGCCAGGCAGAGCCGGGGTAGCGGCGACTGTCGCGGGCAGTGGCCTCAACTCCGCGAGTGGAGGCAGCGGGGTGCAAGGGTACAAGGCCCGAAGCCACGCCCCAGGGCTCCACGCCTGGCTGGCGACCCTGAGAGACCCACAACCAAGCTCCCGCCGCAGCGCCCCATCAGCGCCTTGCCTCATCGGAATAAAGGACACCTGCGGCATCGCCCCTACCTGAGCGAGGCATCGCTGCGAGCAACAGTCACCTTCCGGACCATGACAGCCAGACATAGTTTGGACAAGAGGGTCCCGCCGCCTCGGATCTTCGTAAGGGATTGCTCCGGGAGCTCCACCTGCGTTCGCACAGCGAGCCCACAGATACAATCAGGCGGCGCTGAGGACAGCCTGGAGGCGGGGTGGACAGGGCGAGAGGCGGAGTCTGAGGGGCCCTCACCGACTGGGAGTTCCGGCGGCGCGGCTGGCGGGCCAGGGGGCGGGGCCAACGGGTTTGGAGGCGGGGCTAGGAGGGCTTCTTAATTCTGAGACCCAAAGGCACGGCTGGCAGTGAGGGGTGGGGTCAACCAGGTTGGAGGCGGGGCCTGGGAGGGCCTTGAGGACTTGGGCGATCAGGCTGTGCAGCGGGCAGCCTGTGAGAAGGCCGGGAAAATGGCGGCCTCCTGGAGGCTAGGCTGTGATCCCCGTCTGTTACGCTGTCTCCTGGGTTTCCGCGGCCGCCGAAGCCCCGGGCTGGTTAAGGGGGCTGCCGGGTGCTCTGGCTGCCGCGTAGCTAATTGGAGATGGTTTCACAGCACGCAGTGGATGCACGGTGAGTGGCTGGGGCTCGCTCAGAGCCTCTGCAGCTGAGCAGTGGGCTGGAGTAGGGCTAACTCAGGGCGTGCGTCTGGGTGTGGAGGTGCCCGAGGCTCCCTGTTCTTTTGGTTCTTCATCAGGGAGGGTTCTTCGGGCTTGGCCTGGTGCATGCTGCAAAAGATTTTCCTGGGAGTTGGGAGAACTTGACTCCGTTCCTGGTCCCTCATTTGTATCACTTCTCTGTGACCTTGCTTTGAAATTTGGGTTATTTGGGAGGCAGCGGAGAGAGGGCCTAAACGCCCTTTTCTGAGGTCCGCAACTAGTCACGCCTCACCTTCGTTTAGGGTTGTCAAGCACCTCGTACTGGGGGAGGCTTACCCAGGTTGTTGAGAGCCAAAAGCCACTGTTAGTCGTTCTTATTCATTCTCTAGGCCCATTTCTATTGGGAGATTTTTCCCTTAGAGGCCAGTCGAGTTGCCCCACGGATGACTCGTAACGGGCTTAGTTTGTAAATGGCTACGGCATCACAGAGAGAGGTCTGAGTTACACTCCCATTGTTAGGAAGAGAATCACATCAAGAAATTTATGGTAGAACACTGTGATTTAGTGATGATGTTGACAAAAGGAAATTGGCATGCAAAGTAATATTTTTCCTTTCATGGGACAGAAGGAAATAGGATTAATGTTTTTTTGATTGTTTTTTTTTGATTGACCTACTTGTTACTTGCCAATCATCATTCCTGGCACTCCACAGAAAGAGTTTTTGTTTTAAAAATTAGGCACAGTAGGCATCATCTACATATTCTGAGTTACCTGAGGCTCATAAAAAATAAGTGATGTTTCCAAATATTAGATGATGGAAACTATTTCAGTTTCTTCAGCATAATGTTTCATAAAATATTCCTTGGAGCAGTGGAATCCCTTTTACCCCTTCCCCAAGTTTGTTAAAAATTGAATTATTCTATAGCTCCCCAAGATTCTGTCGGGGATGTAGCCCAGGAACCTGCGTTTTAAAAACACCCTTAGTTGAGTTTTGATATGGACTACACTTTAAGACATACTACCTGAGAAAATCATAGAATATTAAAAGCTCAGTGTTGGAAATAATCTAGGAAGAGTTTTCTTTATTTATGAAACAGGTCCTTTTGAAAATCTTTGAATGCTCTAGAGCCTTTCTACAGAGAAAGGGACGTACGAATATATGCATACAATTTCAGGGGTTTTCCTTAGACCCAGTTTAGGGATTCCTGCTTTTAGAAACTCACTTAGGCAATCCTTATTTGATGCATCATAGCCTTCTAACCCCTTCCTCCTACCACACACACACAGCACAAACAGCTTGTCTAACTGCTTGAACATCTTTTGTAAGGACACGGGATTACATCCCAAGGAAGCTGTGTTGGTTTCCTGTTGCTGCCCAAGAAAGCTATGTTGGTTTCCTACTACTGCTGCAACAAATTACCACAAACTTAGTGGCTTAAAACATCACAAATTTATTATCTTACGGTTGTGGAGGTCAGAAGTCCAAAACGGGTCTCATGGGCTAAAATCAAGGTGTTGACAGGGCTGTGTTCCTCTGGAGGCTCTAGCCAAGAATCCGTTTCCTTGCCTTTTCCAGCTTCCAGAGGTGGCCTGGATTCTTTGGCTCATGGCTTCCTTCCGTCTTCAAAGCCAGCAATGGTCGTTCAGTGTTACATCAGTCTTGACACTCCCTCCTGCTTCCCTCTTAATTATAAGGACCCTTGTGATTGCTTTGGGACCACCTGGATAATGCAGGATAGTCTCCCCACCTCGAAATCAGTTAACAACCTAAATTCCATCTTCAACCTTCATCCTCCTCTTACCTCTTACCTTTTAACATAACATATTCACAGGTTCTGAGGTTAGGACATGGACATTTTGTGGGCGGTGGGGGGCGGGGGGGTCCATTATTCTGCCTACTACAGAAGCCCACTGTGTTATTGGATAGCCGTAAATTATTTGTAAACTTTGGAATTTTTCCTATACTGAGCCAAAGTTTATCTCCTTATGACTTTGACCTACAAATTTTTGTTTTGCCCTGCTGAATACATGTGGCAATCCTTAAACTGTTTGTTTTACAAAGCATGAGTTTACAGTGTCTTCCCTTATATATAAACCAGTTTTTCTTTGACCTCGGTAGAAATCGTAGTTTCATAAAACTAAGTAACTATTTGGTAATCTGTAGGCTATATGAATTAAGTACATTTATTGAACTATTTCCTTTTTCACATATCTTTCAAGGATTTAAAAATCTGTTAATTGGAAGTACACTTGGAGTTTTGGCTTCCTTGAAAGGTGTTGGCAGCATTTTTATGAGCTATGACATACATAATGTGCTTACCACCTCCTAGAACTCCTTATCCACTTCTCAAACAGCCTAGTAGAGTTAGCTTTATTTGCATTTTTGTTGGATAAAAATACTAAGGCTCAGGGAAATTAAGTAGGTCTCCACTATAATGTTAATGAACTGAAGGTATATTTTTAAACAAATTTTAGTAATATTTAAATTGTAAATTAGCCATAGTAAATTAACTGCCTAAACCAGTTGCCCTGGAGTCAGTTCCAGCTCATAGCTACCCCATGTGTGTCAGAGTAGAACTGTGTTCCATAGGATTTTCAATGGCTGATCTTTCAGAAGTAGATCACCAGGCCTTTTTTCCAAGGTGCCTCTGTGTGGACTCCAACCTCCAGCCTTTTGGTTAGCAGCCGAGTTGGTTAACCTTTTGCACCACGAAGGGACCCTATGTAGTAGTGCCTACCAAGTATAACAATATATCACTACACACCCCATTTTGTTTATGGAATCTGTTGACTCTATCATACACTTTCATTTGGTATCCAATGGCACATTTGTAAGGAGGCTGTCTGGAATTGTTAGGTAGTCTGGGGCTGTAGAATATTTTTCCTCTGAGTGAAATAAACCAAAAATTTCAGAAGAGGTATCAGTTTGTAATACTGGCCTTCTTAGTATTTGTCTCAGTCATCTAGTGCTGCTCCAACAGAAATACCACAAGTGGATGGTTTTAACAGGGAGAAATTTATTGTCTTTACAGTCCAGTAGGCTACAAGTCCAAATTCAGGGCATCAGCTCCAGGAAAAGGCTCTCTCTCTCTGTTGGCTCTGGAGAAAGGTCCTTGTGATGCCTCAGTCTTTCCTTGGTCTGAGAGCATCTCAGCACAGGAACCTCAGGTCCAAAGGATGCGCTCTGCTCCCAGCACTGCTTTCTTGGTGGTGTGAGGTTCCCATGTGTCTCTGCTCGCTTCTCTCTTTTATATCTCAAACGAGATTGCATTAAGACACTAATCTTGTCAACCTCATCAGTGTAACCTCATCACAGTGATAGAATTTATAACACATGAGGAGATCACATATAATCTCATCATAGTGGTAGAGTTTAGAACACACAAGGAAATCACATCAGATAACACAGTCATACAATACTGGGAATCATGACCCAGCCAAGCTGCTACCCACATTTTTTGGGGGACACAATTCGATCCATGACAGTATTAAACTGTAAAATTGAAATTCTGTATGAATCCCAGTTCATTTTGCAGTCGTGGACAAGGGTAAAAAAACTCACACCACTTACAGTCTAGCAAAAGAATAAACAAACACATATAATAGGAGATTATACATTTTGTTGTAAGAGCAAATTAAATTTCAGACAACAGTGATTAAATTGATGATTTTCTGCAGCTGGGTAAATCATGGACTTTTTTTGTATTAAATGAAACGTTGGGTACCTCAATTCCATTCTGACTCATAGTGACCACGTGTGACAGAGTGGAACTGCCCCATAGGATTTTCTTGGCTGTAATCTTTATGGAAGCAGATCGCTGTGTCTTTCTCCTGTGAAGCCGCTGTGTGAGTTCAAACTGCGAGCCTTTCGGTTAGCAGCCGAGCGCTTAACCATTTCACCACCGCACTGCTAGGAAGAATTTATGGTTGATAAGTTTATAGTTCAGGAGTGCTTGCTTGGTAATCTACTAGCACTGGTTTTTAGAGGGGCACAAATCTATTTAAAACTGATAAAAGCTTTACCACTTCAGAAAAATGCATATATGCAAACTTTTGTATATGATTCCTGGGGCCTCAAAGACCCCTTTGAACTTATCTGGAAATACTCCCTAGTCTTCAGACTATTTCTGTAAACGTTTTTTTTCTTTTTCTACAGCAAAAAGTTGTGATACCTGCAAGGATATTTAACATATCTGAGAACAAGAAAGATGTTTTTAATATAGGAATTCCAACTGTAAGTAAGGAGTCCCTGGGTGATGCAAACGGCTAAGCACTGGGCTGGTAACTGAAAGGCTGGAGATTCAAATCTACCCAGAGGCACCTTGGAAGAAAGGCCTGGGGAGCTACTTCCCCAAAATCAGCAGTTGAAAACCCTATGGAGCATTATTCTTCTCTGACACACATGGTCAGGTCCTCTCAGCTGTAACTGGTAAATGACTAGTGGATGCATTTAGATAAGTGACAGCAACATAGTAAGTCAGAAGGAAATCTTGATTGAGATCTGGGTTAGGTTAAATTTAGTTGTGCATTTAGGCTCATCAGACCTTTCCCTAAACATCTGTACTTTCTTTCTCTCTTGCTTATGCTGTTCCTTCCAATGAAATGACCTTCTTTTTGGTTTGAAGTCTTTCTCATTCCTTAGATGCCACCTGCCCTAGTCTTTCCATGAATTTGAGAGGGTCCTGGCAGGAAACAAACAGCACCCTCAAACTGGGTAATTTGAGGAGAGTTTACTAAAGTGACCTTTTTGTAAGTCAGTTCTGAGTGTAAAGAAACCACTAGGGATTGTGCTGCACCAAGGAGCTAGTTAGAGCAAGGTGCTGTCACCAACCCTAGGCCCGAAGGGGAGCGAGCAGTTACTGGAACTGCAAGGAGAGACTGTGGGAGGAGCTCTGACAGGACTCTGCCCTTCAGTTAAAGAATACAGCCACCCCTCGTGACTCAGGGAATGGAGCTGTGGAAATATATACCCTG